GTGGAGATTGTCTGCCAACGTTAAGAAGAGTGCCGTCATGGTATGCAACGAGGACAGGGATGAACCAGTAGAATATAGATGGAAGTGGGGGGTCGAGGGATTACAGTAGTGAACCAGTACAAATACCTAGGAGTAGAGATCGCAACAGACTGCTCGTGGAATGCACACATGTCCAAGGTAGCGGAAAAGGGCAAACCACGAGCAGGGAAGCTGCACCCAATACTCGCAAACCGGCACCTCGATATATGCATCAAACTGACGGTGTTGAAGAGCGTAATCTTACCGCCGCTAGAGTATGCCGGAGAAGTATGGGAAGGAAATAAGAAGGTAGTGAAAGAACTCGAGGCGGCGCAGATGAAAGCAGCGAAAATCATCCTAGGATGCTCCAAGCGCACAAGTAATGCAGCCGTCAGGGCAGAATTGGGGATCCAATCCCTACGGTCGGGAAGAGACGCGAGGAAGCTGACATGGCAGTATCGCATGTGCGGGATGGGAGAGGAGAGGATGCCATCAATTGTATGGTAGGCGAAGTGGGCCAACAAAAAGAGGGGTAGACAACCCACGGAATGGGTCAACGTTGTAGAGGACTTATGGAACGGGTTCGACATCGACGAAGATGCAACACTGGAAACGGAGGGTCTACAGGGGTTCAAGGAGAAGATATCTGTTGCTCGTGCCGATAGAGACGAACAGAATCTAAGGAAAGAATCCAAGGATAAGGAGGGTCTAGAAGTGTACGGAATGCTGAAGGAAGGAATAGAGTTCAAGGATTACCTACATGGACCAATGGATGCAGGGATAAAGATTAATGTCAAATTCAGGACCGGGAACATAGGCCTTCGAAAACGTCGAAGACATAGGACGGTAGACGAANACGGAGGGTCTACAGGGGTTCAAGGAGAAGATATCTGTTGCTCGTGCCGATAGAGACGAACAGAATCTAAGGGAAGAAACCAAGGATAAGGAGGGTCTAGAAGTGTACGGAATGCTGAAGGAAGGAATAGAGTTCAAGGATTACCTACATGGACCAATGGATGCAGGGATAAAGATTAATGTCAAATTCAGGACCGGGAACATAGGCCTTCGAAAACGTCGAAGACATAGGACGGTAGACGAAGAAGACGACAAGTTCAAGTGTGATTGCGGCTTCGAATGCGAAGACCGTGTTCATGTAGTCGCGGAATGTCAGTTGTACGAAACGGAGAAGCAAGTGTACATGACTGAGGTGGGAAAAATACAAGGGAGGTACAGGGAGATGTTTGAGGCATGGAATAGAGAGGAGAAGACGGTAGCTGTACTGGGGAGTAGGAAGTGGTTTGAAAAGGCGGGAAGTGAAATCGTTAGGATAGGTACTAGGTAAGACGTTTTTGAGCCACAATTGGGAAGGAACGATTGGCCATCGGTGATCGGTCCTGTCGGAACAATGATCCGTCCTCTCGAGGACGCGTGGTCAATGGTCTAGCCGCCAAGGTATGCAAAACATAAGAGTACGCGCCCCTCCCCCGGTCATAAAATTGTTGGTTTCAACAAAACTTAATCGACGGGGGTGTGGTGCCTTCGGTGACCACTTTGATCTGGATTGTACGTGCTACATAGGCTCATGTTGAGCCGCAAACATATGACCACCGGGTATGTTACTCTGTGGCAGGGGGGGGTATCATTTGTGGGGGTGCTATCTAGTTTGGAACGAGATAATACACGGCATGCAGTCTGTTGTGTACACAACACATTTCAACGACAGTCTATTATTACCTGCGCCGGCTTGGACTGCGAGGACACCTCGAACTCATGCTGTATGTTAAAGTCCACCGGAAACGTGACCCGGTCCTCCACGGTCCTCGCGATCTCTGCCGCCCGCTCCCCGAGCCTGCCCCAAGTCTCCGAGAACAGCGGTGGGGACATGGTCGCGTACACCACATTGCTCACCAGCCCGGCGGCCGAGTCCACCACCTGGTACACGTCCCTCAGCTCCACGGGGGAGAGCCTGCCGAGACCGACCAGGTTGTTCGTGAACACCAGCCTCCACCGGCCGTCCAGCTTGCCCAGGTCCCTGGGGAACTGCACCTCCGTGCCTTGCCCCGAGGAGGTCTCGAGCTCCACTACCAGCTCCTCGATCGCGCTCTTGTCCGCCTCCGAGTAGGGGATGTAGCCCTCACCGACTCCCGAGAGGACGGTCTGCAGCAGCTCGTTGGCGAGGCTGAACCCCCCGCTGACGGGGGGCGTAGAGGAGGAGGCGTCGGGGGAGATGTCGGAAGGGAAGGCATCCACCGCGTCTGCTGGTGACGAGGAGGACGATCTTAGGGGAGACGCACTGCTGGGCCCGTGGTGAGCGTGTGACGCTGGAAGCGAGCGTGACACCAGGAGGGGAGGGGGGGGGGGG